ATGTGAACGGTTTTCAAGGAAAAAGGCATTTATTGAACTCTTACAATATTATCATTAAAATTTTGATATAAAGTAAAATATTACTGAGAATGTATGCCTTGTTTATGATACATACCAATAAGTTTAAACATAAGCCCATTTTGAGAAAAGTCACTTATTTTCTTCACCGTAATATTGTAAGAGTTCAATTAAAAGCCTGTTTCTAACAAGAGTACATTATTTTTGGAAAATAAAATTGTACATTAGAAATTGGAGCCCGAATGGTACAAAACCTAACCTTAAAAAAATTAGAACCTAAAATGTAATAGGAATGTAGCATAACTAGCGCCCTCTATGAAATATCCAAAAAATAATTAGACCAGCTTATTTGGCGTCCTTAAAAACCCCGGAATACCAAATTTCATAAAAATATTTCGCACCGTTTGGAAATTTTCGAAAAATTCTATTTAAATAATTTTATTTTGTCGCTCTGTATCTCGAAAACAAGAGGAGATAGGCATATAGTTCATAAGACAAAAAAATTCTTATTTTTTATCGTACTATCACCCCCTGAATTTACGGGAGGTCTTTCTGGAACACCCCGTGTATTCGTGGGGTGTATAGGTAGTAAATAATATTTGTACAAAATCGGATGAATTGACGACTTAACAAAATTGTCTCCAGCAAAACTTCCCGCAAATATAATTTTTTACTCCCTGCGATTGTTTTTTGTATAAAAAGGATCGCTATTAATCTTTTAGGACATTTCAATTTATTATAAAATTAAATAACTGAAATTGCATGCTTCCGACTTTCTTGCTCTTGTTTCATATCTGGAAGCGGATGTAAAATGCGGAAAAAACTTCGAGTTTAAAACAGAATGTATAGTGGCGACTTCCTGGCGACGGATGTTCACCAAAAGGAACTCAAAGAAATCCTTTTTAATTTTTTCAGACCGATAAATATTTAGCGGATATTTTTATACATTGACGTCTCGGTACGATCTTTATAGTTTAAAAAATATTTCATAAACAACACATATAAAGTGGTACAAACACATATTTAACAATTAATATTATTTTTTTGAGTATTTTGCCATCTGTAAAACAACTTAAAAAAAATTCTTATGGAAATAGTATTGCCTAACCAAAAATCTCATGAAAGCAGACTAAAATAAAGAATTTTAAGGGGTCATTACAAAGCAAATTTAAACTGTCAAGAATAATTTATAGCGAAACTTCATTTTCAGTTTGGAAAACGAAAATAGATTTTCAAAACGTCAAAAACTTGTATCTACTCGTATGTATACCCAGCAAAGACGCGTACGTTTGGTCCTTCTGGCGTTAGAGTTTGTTTCATTGAATTTTATTTATTTCAGGGGTGACAAAGTACCCAATAAATAAGGAAAAACCAAAACAATGCCACAAATAAGTGACTTCAGGGAATATAATGACTATAACTATATATTGGTGAATTATAATATCCACTGAGGCTTGAAAATACGAACGAGAACCTCTCCATACAATCTGGCAATTATATTTTATTAAAGTGAGAGGAGAACCCACGACTTGGCCGCGCACTGCCGCTGAATTTCTCGGTAGTTTATATCCAGAAATGAATGTTAATGCCGTTTTTAGAGCCACTACATACAACCGAAATAAATTAAACGTAGCAATTAAATTACTGCGCCGGTTTATGTTGTGAAAATCACCTAAAATATTAAATTCGCCGCAGCATCTGTGTAACGGCGATGTGGGCAATTATTCCTGCGAGTGCTTTTATTGCGGGTGAATTACTGATTTCGAGACAAACAGTTCACCCGATACGTTTCCGCTAATGACGGGACTGGTACGTGTCGTATACTGATTCCTGATACGATGTGGACGCGGATGTCACTTTACCATCTCAAAGTTGAAAGTGCGCAGAATATACATACTAGTGTTTCTGAACTCGTACAGCTACAGAAATAGCTCAGTAAAAACGCGTTTAATATATACATCTGCTGGCATATATCACAACAGATACATCATGAGTTGTATGTACCACAAGACTGTTCATTATAGTATCTACCATTATTATAGTGGAAAAGAATGCATATTAATATGCTGGAAATATACATTACATATAATATAATTCGGAATGCGGAGCTTTCTTCTGTAACATTTTCTATTAACAAATGTCCTCCATAGGTTTCATATAATCATAGTTGCTGTAACTTCAAATGTTTTATCTTCTGCTTCTGTCAAAACATGACTCGTTTCTGCGAATTGCATTGCATTGTTATAAAAACGTACGAACTGGGGTCCAGAACATCATAAAATATTAAATATAGTACGTATGTAAGTTAAGCGAAATTCATTTGAATTAAAGAAAGTGAAATTAGGGTTCTGTTATTTTTATTTCTTCTCGTATTCTTGAAAAATGACAAAAAATTTTGTAGACGTTTTGTAGGTTGTTTTTTTTTTCTGATGATAAAACTATTATCAATAAACTTTTCAAGAAAAAACAAAAAAAGCGGTAACTCGTTACTGTAAAATTTACATTTATTTATTTTATTTTTGCTGTCTTTGTTTATTAATAAAAGTAATAATTTTTTATAACGAGCGTTTAAATAAAAAAGTGGTCAAGTTGGTTCTGAAAATTTGGACGTAGGGCGTAGCGTATAGCAAATGAACTTAAACGTCATCTGTCAAAGCGCTATATCGCCGCTATCAATTTGAATATTTTCGTTTTAAAAAGCGTTTAAAATGGTGTTTTCTCAAGAACAAAAAGTGTTTATCATAGAGTCCTACTTTAGAAATGGACGCAAGATTGATGGAATATGGAAGTATTCTATTGAGGAATGTTTCATAGAATTTCAAAATCAATTTCCCGGCGTTGTTGAGTACAAAATTTTTCAAAGTGCAGTTCAGCGTTGTGTTAATGTTTTTCGTGAAACGGGCAGTGTAACAAGAAAAGAAGGAAGCGGCCGACCTAAAAAGCGGACTGAAGAATTAAAAGAAAATGTCCAACAAATAATGGAAAATGCGCCAAGAACTTCTGTACGTGTTTTATCACAAATGGTGGGAGTATCAGTCGGTACCTGCCACACAGTGTTAAAAAAAGATTTGCGTTTGTTCTCCTATCGTTTAACTTGTCAGCAAGAACTTCATGAAGTTGATTTTCCGCGACGGGCTGTATTTTGTGAATGGTTTTTAAACAACTACGGTGAACTTCATAATATCACCTTTTTTTCTGATGAAGCCTGGTTTCATTTAAGTGGTTACGTAAACTCACAGAATATGAGAATGTGGTCTTCTGAAAAACCAGATAACTTTTTTGTCGAGGGCCCTCTACACGCTCAAAAAATTGGAGTTTGGTGTGCTCTCAATCGAAGGAGGATTTATGGACCTATTTTTTTTAATGGTACTCTTACTGCGCAAAGGTATAGAGAAGAAATTATCGCTCCTTTTGTTAACCAGCTGGAAGAAAACGAAATTACAAACTTTTACTTTCAACAAGATGGCGCAAGGGCACATACGGCAGGCGAGACGATGAATATGTTGAGGGAAGTTTTCCAAAATCGACTAATAAGTCTCAATGCTGAACATGAATTTCCACCGAGGTCATGTGATATTACGCCGTGTGATTTCTTTTTGTGGCCTTACCTTAAAAACACTATTTTTGAACTGCCTATTCCTGATTTAAACCATCTGCAGGCTCGACTTATAGACAAGATTCGTGAAATTAACAATACCCCGAGCATCTTAGAAAATGTCTTTAATTCTTTGAGGAACAGGTGTGAAAAGTGCTTGGAACAAGGAGGGGGACACTTTCAGCAGCTGCTTTAATTTATTGTTATAACAAGGAGGGGGACACTTTCCGCAGCTCCTTTAATTGTTTGTTATTGTTATCACGATTATTCTTTAAAATAAAGTTATATAGTCATTAACGTTATTGAAACTGACAGCTGCTATACAGCTCGTTGAGAAATGAGGTTAAGTTGGTCGCTATAAGCTACTCCCTACGTCCAATGTGTCAGAGCCAACTTCGACCACGTTTTTATTTGAACGCTCGTTATTAACAAATGTCTTCCATAGGTTTCATATAATCATAGTTGCTGTAACTTCAAATGTTTTACCTTTTACTTCTGTCAAAACATGGGAATATATTCATTTTTATGAAAACGTACGAACTGGAATCTAGAACATCGTGAAATATAGTAGAATATATAGAAATATAGAGAATAGAAGAATAGAAGAATAGAATATATAGAATAGAATATATAGAATATAGTAGATATAGTTAAGTGAAATTCATTTGAATTAGAGAAAGTGAAATTAGGGTTCTGTTATTTTTATTTCTTCTCGTATTCTTGAAAAATTACAAACAATTTTGTAGATGTTTTATAGGTCGGTTTTTTTTTCTTATGATAAAACTATTATCAATAAACTTTTCAAGAAACAACAAAAAAAAGCGGTAACTCGTTACTGTAAAATTTACATTTATATATTTATTTCATTTTTATTATCTTTGTTTTTTAATAAAAGTAATAATTTTTTATATAATTTGTTATAAATATAATGTTGATATAATTTAAACATAAAAATTGCTTTTTCAGTATGTGTCTCTTACACAATTTTTCTACTGCAGTCAAACTATGTATTCATGACCGTTCGTAGAAACACATTTCCTTTGTTTTGTAAATCTACATCGCCCTTGCCTTGGCAAAGCGACTCGTTGTTTGGTGGAACGATCGGAACGCTATCTTCAGCTTCATAAATTAGAATATTGTGTATTAATTATGAAGTAGTTATGTTGTTAGTTTTATTAAAACACTGTGCTTTGCTTCGATATTAAGCTTGTACGTCGCTAGAAATTACCTACGAAACAAGATTAGTTGGAGGAGACGGAGTCTCGTATCATACAAAACAAAAAGTGAACGTGTTAGAGATAAAAGTTGTGTTCTGAACACAACTTACGCTTGACAAAACGGGAAAGACGACAACGGGACTAAAAAGGAAACTAATACATGCTGCTATTGTACTTTGAACTAAGATATTGTGTTTATATGGAACATAGTGTCCTTAACGTATTTTATTGAAGTAAATGAAGGTAAATATAAATTTAGTAGATATAAAAAATATACAAAATTTGAGAGTAGATATTGCGGTAATTAAAAGAAAATGAACATTTTTTCAAAAATTTGGATGGCATATTTTTTCTTTTTTCATTTTATCTCGTATAAGCCCCATAACAATAAAAAAATGTATGATACATTACAAGGAACGACAAGATACATTAATTATACCTTTACAAACACTTGATGGTGTCTTTTTCTTATTTTGACTTCTCGAATTCAAATTTTTAATGAGGTAGTTTCTTTCAACTGCAAAGAAAATGGAAATGTACTTATGTAAGTAATGAATATTTCTATTGTTGTTTGTGATGTAATGTTGTCATCATATGTTTACAATTTTTTACCATTCAAGAAATTTAATTATAAAACGCTAAACGTCTTCAGGGAAGCGCAAAAAATTGAACGCTTCTTCACCCAAATTTAATTTTTAAGTTTAGCCAATTAATCTTGAAACATTCTGTATATCTCTTTCAATAATAATACATGAAAATAATAATTCTTATCTATCAAACGTATACTTTTATAAAAATAAAATAAGTTTATTCGTGTTTTCGGTTTAGGTATTTATTTAGTGATATCATCTGTATTAAATTTGAACGATATAAAATAAGGTACATATGAACTATAAATGAAACAAAATCAATAGCCGGTCATTTCTAAATTATAAATTAGATCAATAATTGTCTTAATGTTAGCCACAATTTGAAAATACTTTGTTTTATAACTTGTAACTGTTGGTGTAGAATGTTAATTTCATTTCTATAGAAACATCTTATCACAACTCCATAGGACGAATGCAATATATTTAGAATGCTGAACTGTTAATTTTTAAAAGGTAATTTTTTTGTCTAAATTATTTAAAATTAATTATTAAAAAAAATCGATATACAAATTGCCGAGTGAAAATTTAAACATTTTTATTTATTTTTAATTTATTTTTATGACAGTTTCCGTCGCGATGCAAGAGTCGTGTTAAATCAATTTCAAATTAAAATAAAATATAAGTCAAAATATAAAGAGATCTTTGAGTTAGGTATATCTTTTAATTACTTTAATATGATCAATTTATAAGAAAAACTTTATACTGAAAAAAACATGTTTGTAATGAAATCCAGAATTAATAGATGTAAAATGTGTCGTGTAGAAAATGTCATCTTTTTTACAGCCTTTAGATATTCACGAGATATTTACGTACTTTTTTTTTACTATCGCCAAAAATTATGATACTGTATAAATAAATAATACTTTTTTATGATCCTGTATAATTTTTCAAAAAACTATAATTAACTATAAAATACTCGCCTTTTAAATTTTTTTTTCTATATGTAGATATGTAGTAACTGTTATAAAATTGTAGAAAATTTTAATATACTTACACATCTCCTTATTACTCGTAGTTCTCTTATTTTGATTCTATTTTAATGTAATTAAACTATTTCCAATAAATTCAAAACAATTTTTTCTAAAAAATCTTTAAAGTAGATAGATTTACAAATTACTTGATCAAGCTGCTTATACTATTAAATCGAATTATTGATACCTATCTATTAATTGTGAATTTTGTAAACTGACTGTAAAAGTGGTTTTTATTTTTTTTCCAAAAAGGAAGCAATATAATGAAAAAAATTCGAGACAAAAAAGTTGTAATTTTGGTTGCTTAATGCGTAAAAAGTTATAAAAAGTCAGTAGCGCACACTTTTTTTTTGTCAAAAATATTGGTTAAGGTGCTCCCAGGACGCCACTGGACGTAATAATTTTAATCTAGTTAGGGCTAAATTAGCCCCTTTCTACCATAAATAACACTGCCAAATTTCAACAAAATCGGCTTAAGGATTATTGATTTTTACGAAAAAACGATTCTTTGAAAAAAGTTTCACACTTGTATTTTGAAAACGAAGCATTACTGGTCCTATGTTTATGCAAACTTTTCGACTTAGAATCACTCAACGAATGGCCCCTTGAAGTTTGGCCACGTACTTAAATAACATCCTCTATTATTCATATTATTTCATTTCAATGTACTTATATGAATGTAATTGTTTAAGTTTGTTTGTTTTTTATAACAATTGGAGAATATTTGCTGTTCTGTTTGTTTATATGTTGAAGTTCGTTTTTTATATTATATGTACCTAGTTTCTTTTTCTCTGAAGATGGCACAATCTGCGAAACTAGTAGGAAAGAAACTTAGAAAAAAAAGTTATACTAAATTAATAAGGACTATCTATTATTTATTACAATTAGGCTTCGACTAGGACGATTTTGAAATAATTCCTTCCGGATCCCGTAAATTTATCCTGTCGCTATTAATAATCCATAAAGGATGTAGGGGAATTCATGCATTCTAGCACATGTTGCACACGGATATATGAGGCCATCGGATATATGGCAATATGAGAGAGTGGCCGATTTCCTTTTTTTACTGTCCGGAATGCATTCATTGGGCTCCGGGCCTCACCTCGGTTTCCGGATAAAAAGGCACCGGTTGATTTATTCGGAGCATTTTGCCTTTAATAAAGTTGGGGGGCGATATTATTACTGATGAATGCTCCTGTGCTCTGCCTGTTTGTAATAGATTCCTGACTGATGTCGAGTTTACGTACCTACACTGAAAAACAACTTTTCACGTTTCGGTAATGAATTAAACAGATACAGAAATTAGTGAAAAAGCTTAATTGTGACAGTTTTTGGTTTTTACTTTGTTTTGTTTATCTAATGGCAGTACTAGTTATAGAATGTATTCAAATACCAATGAAATACTGTGGGAACAACGCGAGTTAATCAAAACTAATGGTAGTAAAACTTGTGCTCGTTTGGAATTTTATGGGCTCCGCGACAAAATTAATGCCGTCCAGACGACACAGTTCTGGTTTTTGGTTGTTGCTGCATAAGTCGTCCGGGTGGAAGTTGGCCCATTGACAAATTTATGAAAAAGCCGGAAGAGGGTTAACGCTCCGTTGCCTCCAGCCAGACGGCCTCCTTGCCAAAAACGGAAAACTAGGGCTGTTGTAAAATTTAATGGTATGTGTGTGGATGTGGGGTATCCGCTGTCGGATTACTCAAACACTGCATTCTGAGATTAAGAGAGTAAGCGTGATCAGTTAAAACCACGGAACTGCTTATATATCGGACAATATTTATGCTATGAAAAAAATTTAAATTAAAACATTCGTAACTTTATCCAAATATTTTGGGTACAATGTAGATTGGTAATGTATTTTTTACAATTTCTGCTCAATCCTCTACACTGAAAGAAATGCGCTGTATTTTTTATTAGACAGTTAAACAGGTGAATATTGGATATAAAACGCGTACTGCTAGTACAGTTGTATAGTGACTATAAACCTTATTTTTTTATTAAATTATTGTATAACTAGTATACAACGTTTTTTATACCCTTTACGAAATAATAGCAATAACTGTTATTAAAGTGTTCCATATCGTTATTAGAACATCTAGTACTGGTTATAAGTTTTATAATAATAAATGTATTAAACTGTTGTATACTCTGTATGAGTTAAAAACATATGTCATTAAGTTTTCAGAAATTTTATTGGATAACTGTAATTACAAGCTAAGGTTCTAATGTAAACATACATAAAACATACTTTTAAGCATTAAAAATGATGACAAATCGCTCCCAAAACTGTCCAGTTTATTTTCTTAGCAACGATGCACCCGTATTTTCTTGTATTACATGAGAATTTGCACTATAACTCTTCCACCTTAAGAATGAAGCATCCCCAGAAAGGTTGAGCTTCTTTCCATATAATTTTATTTCCTCTGGTTGATTGACTTTATACCCATGCTCTTCTTTGTCACCGTTAACCTTCTGTTCCTCCATCTTATGTAAAACTTAACATCAGCGATTTCTAATAGGACCTACAAAATAATAATTTTTAAGATTTAGACAAGATTTACATTTGAAAAAACAAAACAATTACAAGCCATAAAACAGTTAGATACTTACATAATAATTTTCCATTTCACACAACGCGATATGATCATGTATCCCACAAAACATGTGCATATACTGTCCATTTTCATCAAACTAGACGTGTGTAAGTCGATGCACAGCGGACTGTCGGAAATTTTACGATTGTTGTATTTTCTCTTCTTGAGTAAAGATAATAAAGACGTTGTGGTTTTGTGTGTTTATTTTGACAATGATTGAACATGTATGGACAATAAAAGTGGACTGTATAAGATAGTTGAGTACCGTTCTGCTTCATGCATAGCATGCTACTGAAATCTTAGAAGGGATGAGCTCGTGCGGCGAACCCTAAATCAGCGGCTGGAATAGCCAGGTTTCTTATTGAGTCGGCGCACTTCGCTCTCGGGTCTGACATATGATTATTATTACAAGACTATGAATATAACTTAACAACGATCATAACCGATTATGCACCGAGAGGTGACGATCACTTAACCATTATAAGATGCGTTTTACACGTTAAAAACGGAAACATATTCAGTATAAGAACGAATAATTCTGTTAATACAATTGTTATATACAAATTCGGATACTGGTCTTTATACAACAAATCTTCCCTACTATACAACTGGAATATAAAGTCTATAACACCTAATAATGTATAAGTAATTCATTATAACCTTTATTTCATAGATGCATAAGGTGTATTAAGCACCTTCCAGTTAAACTGATTGAATAATGAGTATGGAGATGATTGCTTTTTTTTAATAAAAGTTGTATATTGGTTATAAAAGTTTTAATATGCGCTATACACATTATTCTAGATAAACAGTTTAATAAGCCCATTTCTTTCAGTGTACAAATTTTATTACGACAATTTGTTTTTAATTATCATGGCAACAGCAGATTTGAGGATATTTGATTTTTTAAAATGCTATGACTTGAGCTTGCTTCGTTCTAATATAATAAACTGTAGCTCATTTTAAAGGGCTTTTTGATCTGATTCGTTTCTATTAACAATCCAAAAGTTAATTTATATTCGCA